GCCACACCTAGTGTGAGGCCTGGAACTGGACTCACCGTTTCTCGATCCTGCACAAGAGAGATGATAGACTTGTGATCAGTTAAAATAGTGGCATCATTAGTTTCTAAAAGATATTTCTTTAAAAATTTCTTAATAAAAAGATGTTCTTTCGACAGATTAAAAGACACTGGACATTTAAGATCAACAGGTAAAATTTTCAAAGATCTTAGGTACGACCCCATCCAGAATCGTTTCATGGCTGCTGTTTTGTGCTCTCTGTTTTGGGTCAGTGCGTACTGGATGTGGAGGGCGACAAAGCGGCTTCCTAAAAACAGGTGGGGGTCTGGGAGGCCTTTCCCTCCATTCTCTTTTCTTTTTTTAACGACCTCCCTCTTCAGTCGTTCCCACTTGGACCCCCACAGGAAATGAAATAAACTTGATCAGGAAACGTCTTAGGGGACTAAAAACAGAACAGACAAGTAAAATCAGTGGTAAAATTACAGCTTTAAAAATTAAAATCTTGCCTTCTAACGTCAGTTGTCTTAGTCCCCAAAAGCCCAGTCTTTGCCTAACTTTCCCTAACATGTCAGTCCAGTTTCCTTGTCCTCCACCCTCCCTGTCAAATTTCACACCTAAAATTTTCAAATCATTTTCTTTAAAATCCAAATCTAGTCCTCCTGTGTCCACGTCACCCCACGGCCCGAAGAGCAGGGCCTCTGACTTAATCCTGTTGAGCTTGGCGCCCGAGGCCTGACCGTACCAGTCAGTCAAGTCCATTGCTCTTCGTACTGATAAAAGGTCAGTCGCTAAGAGGGTCACGTCGTCCATATATAAAACACAGGTCGCCGTCAGTCCACCAGTTCCTGGGATGTCTAGTCCTTTAATCCATTTATCCCTTCTCAAGATTTGTGCCAGTGGCTCAATGCAAGCCACGTACAGAAGGGGAGATAAGGGACACCCCTAACGGACACCGCTGTGGATATTTACAGCTTTGGAAAGATGCCCATTTACAAGAAATTTGCTGCTTAAGCCCTCATACAGCAGCCCCACCCAAGCTATAAACCTCTCTGGAAAGCCCATTTTTTGCAGTACCTGAAAGAGGTACTGGTGCGAGACCCGATCAAAGGCTTTTTCAAAATCTAAATTTAGGGCTACAAGCCGGATGTTTCTGTCTCTCGCATAACAGATGGCATCTCTAATCAGAACTAGGCTGTCTGTTATCTTTCTTCTGGGCACAGCGCAAGCTTGATCCGGGTGGATTACGTCCTCTAAAACGGTCGACATACGTGTAGCTAAAATTTTACTAAAAAGTTTGCAATCAAAATTTAAAAGAGTGATAGGTCTCCAATTTTTTAAGTCAGTCCGGTCACCTTTTTTGTAAAGTAAAGAAACTATCCCTATTCTAAAACTGTCCGGAAGTCTGTCAAGGGTCTCAAAGTCCTTAAAAACAGTCAGTAATTCGTGAGCTAAAATGTCCCAAAAGGTAAGATAAAACTCCAGGGGGAGTCCTGTCACGGGCGTGGGTGAAGGCTGAAGAGGACGAGGAGTCAGGATACAAATAACAATAATATTTATTCCAAATACTGGACGGAAGACAAGTTTCACGTACACGCAGGGTAACATTCAACATTGACCGACAACCATTGATTAAAACAGAGGGAACTAAATACACAGAATAATCAAACATAATGGGGTGAAAACAGGTGAAACAGATGATCAAGACGAGGAACAGGTGGCTGATGAGGGAGTGAACACAGGATAGGGTGACGAGAGGATCCTGGGAAGTGTAGTGCTGATGACAAGACAGGACGGTGCAGACGAAGACTGTGACAGAACTCCCCCCTCCCGGGAGGCGTGACCTCTCGCCGCATAACAGAGGAAGGAGGGGGGACGAACTGGGGGCTGGGCGGGGCGTGGCCAGGGCGGAGCAGGCTGAGGGCGTGGCCAGGGCGGAGCAGGCTGAGGGCGTGGCCAGGGCGGAGCAGGCTGAGGGCGTGGCCAGGGTGGAGCAGGCTGAGGGCGTCCCCAGGGCAAAGCAGGCTGAGGGCGAGACCAGGGCAAAGCAGACTGAGGGCGTGGCCAGGGCGGAGCAGACTGAGGGCGAGACCAGGGTGGCGCAGGCTGAGGGCGAGACCAGGGCGGAGCAGATGGAGGGAGGACCCCTGGTGGAGCCGATGGAACTGAGGCTGACGACACCAGGGGGCCGACTGACAGGGGCGGAGCAGATGGGAGAGGAGACCAGGGTGAAGCTGAGGGACAGACGACATTGGAAGCTGAGGAGGAACCGAGGGACCATGGTGACACCGTAGGCTCTGGGGACAGAAGTGACGACAGGGGTACAGAGGGACACGGTGAGGTCAGGGGGCGTGAGGGCTGACGGGTGACTGGAGGGAGTGAGGAGTCCGACAGAACCGGGGGGGTGACATGACGGGGCGGAGCCAGAGGAAGGAAGTCCATAGGTGACGGGAGGATGACGAGGGAGCGAAGGGAGTCCGGAGGGTCGAGGGAGCCTGGCCGAGCTGGTGGACTGAGGGGCCATGGAGGAGCTGAGGGAGGTAGGAGCCACGGGGGAGCTGATGGGACAGAGGGCCGAGGAAGTGTCTCAGAGGAGGAGGTGTGAGGCGAAGACCGGGGATCCAAGGACCAGGCTGGGTTAGGGGAGCTGAAGGGCAGGAGAGGAGATGGAGGACAGATGAGAGGAGGCGGGAGAGGGAGGCTGGGTGGGATCCTGGTCTCTGGCGCTGGCTGGACGGTCTCTGGCGCAGGCTGGACGGTCTCTGGCGCAGGCTGGACGGTCTCTGGCGCAGGCTGAACGGTCTCTGGCGCTGGCTGGACGGTCTCTGGCGCTGGCTGGACGGTCTCTGGCGCTGGCTGGACGGTCTCTGGCGCTGGCTGGACGGTCTCTGGCGCTGGCTGGACGGTCTCTGGCGCTGGCTGGACGGTCTCTGGCGCTGGCTGGACGGTCTCTGGCGCAGGCTGGACGGTCTCTGGCGCAGGCTGGACGGTCTCTGGCGCAGGCTGGACGGTCTCTGGCGCTGGCTGGACGGTCTCTGGCGCTGGCTGGACGGTCTCTGGGGCTGGCTGGACGGTCTCTGGGCTGGCTGGACGGTCTCTGGGGCTGGCTGGACGGGGCAGGACGGAACCAGCGAAGAGATCTCGGCTCGGCGAGGCTGGGCGGAACCAGCGGAGAGGAGAGCTCGAGCTTTGGAGGGGTGCTGGTGACTTCCTCCACCGTGAATGGAGACTCACAGCACACCAGCACCCACTCCACACAGGCGGCGAAATCATCTGGACCGTTCCCTGGGAGGCGTGCCCGGGACCGCTCGCTGAGGCTGGCGATGTAGAACTCACTCAGCGAGTGGTCAGAATAGTGAGTGAGGCACGCCAACTCCAGAAAATCCCTAGTATGGGATTCCAGGGAACGGTCTTCCTGATCAAGGCAGAGCAGAGCCACTGCGGGAATGTCCATTTTTCTTCTTCTTTTTTCTTTTTGGGTCGGTCAATCTGTCACGGGCGTGGGTGAAGGCTGAAGAGGACGAGGAGTCAGGATACAAATAACAATAATATTTATTCCAAATACTGGACGGAAGACAAGTTTCACGTACACGCAGGGTAACATTCAACATTGACCGACAACCATTGATTAAAACAGAGGGAACTAAATACACAGAATAATCAAACATAATGGGGTGAAAACAGGTGAAACAGATGATCAAGACGAGGAACAGGTGGCTGATGAGGGAGTGAACACAGGATAGGGTGACGAGAGGATCCTGGGAAGTGTAGTGCTGATGACAAGACAGGACGGTGCAGACGAAGACTGTGACAAGTCCATCTGCCCCTGGGGATTTACCCCTCTTAAAACCTTTCAGTGCTTTTTGAGTTTCTAAAATGGTAAAATCTTGTATTAAAAGCTCATTTGGACTCTTTACTTCCTTGACTAAAAAATTTAAAACTTCCTTTAGAGTGGTGTCATGTACATCTTTTGGACTGTATAACTCTTGGTAAAAATACTCAACCCCTTTTAAAATTTCATCTGTTGTTTTTACGTCCCTCCCTTCTACTTTTACACTAGTTATAGCCCCTCCCCTTGTTAATATCTTTTTAAAAAAATACCTAGTACATTTTTCACCTTCTTCTATCTCTCTCTCTTTACTTCTTAAAATAAACCCTTTACTTTGATAACTGGATAAAACTGACATTTCTTTCTTGACCTCTTTCATTTCGTCATTAAAATCAAAACCATTATTAAAAAGATTAAAATATCTTTGTAGTCTTTTTTGCAGCCCCATCATGTATCTCTTTTCCCTATTCTTCTTGTCCCTTCCTACTTTCCTAAAAAACTGTCTTGTCCGGTCCTTTACCATCTCCCACCACTGTGCGCGTGTATCGTAAAAGTCTTGGAGGGTCTGCCATTGGCTGAACTGCTCCCTATATTCCTTTACTACATCCTCATCTTCTAAGAGGGAGCAGTTCAGCTTCCACAGCCCTCCCCCTACCGTCACACCTGTGGGCAGTGAAAGGGTGGAAGACAGCACTAATCCTTGGAATCCTTGGCTCGAGCCAAACAAGATGCATGCCTCGCATTGGGTGGTCGCGCGGCGAGATTTTCGGGTATTTTGGATTTTCTGAAAAACCTACTTTTGCACACTAGTCCTAGGTTTTTTGCCCGATCTGACCCAAACCGGTGCAGAAAGATTCTCTGGAGTCTGACTGCCAACAGGGATCGGGAAACAGTTGGAATTTCCATCCACGTTGGCGACGGTACGCCAAAACGTTGGGGGTGGGCGAGGCGGGCTTTACTTAAATGGCTATAACTCTCCAACGGAATGAGACAATTGCACCCAACTCGGTACACCTGTGTACGGGCTCAGCACGTGGTCACGTGAAGAGGAATGCGGCGACTGGCCTCAGTTCAACTCTCTGGACTGCCTCTGGATATTGAAGAAGTGAAGAAAAAAAACAAAACAAAAGAACCTCAAGTGGAGCTTTAACAATCTGCCCTTTTAACCAGTGTTGTCCAGGGGAGAGCGCGAACGCAGTCCCCCACTACCATAAATTATGCAGTCGAGATTCCCACATTTGGGGAGTTCGCGAATGGGCCTCCACTGAACCGGAGTGCAATTGACCGGAAACGTGATTGGATGGGGTTCTATGATTGATCACATGGTTTCTCTCTGTTTACTTCCTAGGTCCCCACGCGAGCGAGGGAATTCCCAACGATGACATCACCAATACTACATTGTTATGATGACGTCAATCATTCATTAATGGTTACAAAGAGTATTTCAACTGTTTATGATACACTGTTAATATGTAAATGACTACTATCTCTCTTTGAGTACTCATGTTACAAATTTAGTAACAGAATTTTTTTATTGTGCTATTTTTATTGGAACAGGTTATATAAATGGTAAATGGTTAATATAAACTATTACTTTGATTTTACTACGACTATATAATTTATTCTGTACCCCAATTTTCCACACTAATAAAACATCCTTTATTTTCCTTTGTGATTGTTTTATTTGAACAGGTTATATAAATTATTACTTTGATTATACTATGACTATATAATTTCTGTACCCTAATTTTCCACACCAATAAAGCATCCTTTATTTTTCATTTTGATTGTTTTATTTGAACAAGTTATATTACTTTGATTATACTAGGACTATATAATTTATTCTGTACCCCACTTTTTCATACCAATAAAATATCTACAGAAGTTTACTATGAAAGTTCATTACTTAATATAAGCATGATGTTGTTCCTTTACAACGATGATGAAAGTTTGATCTGATGTAATAAATCAAAAGTTATATATAAATAAAAGAAAACTTTTTAATAATAAAGCAAAATCACTTTATTTAGTTTCACAGAACATAATATATTATGCAAGAATATATTACAAAAATAAATCAAAAGGTTTACATTGATTTTATTGAAAATAGTTTTAAGTAAACGTGTTCAAGTTACAAGTGTCTATCTCCACAATGACACTTTTGAAAGAAAAAAGAACACAGAACGTAGAACAATAAAACTTGTACACAATAAAACACACAATTTACAATGGGCCAGCCATTCCCTCCTCTGATCCATCCACAACAGACACAAAATGTTCATAGTCTCTAAATACTATGTTCTCCAGTCCCTTGGAGGCTGAACGGTTGATTGAAGGGCAAAATGGGTTTTTTTTGTACTTTTTGTGTCCCTGAATTGTTTGCCCGCACACCCTGCAGGTCGGGAGATGCTGCACCCTTGTTAGCTTAACGCCCAGGGCCGTAGGATGATCTGCCATCTTCCTCTTGTACAGTGTGGATTTAGACCACGACAATCCTTCCACAGGGTTCTGTCCAGAGGGCGGCTGAACAGCTGGCCTGATGGGCACAGACGGGGTGACCGGGATGGATGCCTGACCAGTAGGCAGTATGGGCTGCATGGACGAGGGGCCCGCAGACTGGGAGACTGACAGCACAGGCCTGGTGATGGTGGAGGTGGCGGGGATTTTCCTCACTGGCAGGGGCAGTGGTAGTTGAGGAGGGGGCAGTGGTGGTTGAGGAGGAGGCTGTGGCGTCGCCACCAGCTTGTTAGTCCGTCCCTTCAATACCTTTGTGCCGGCGGTGCTGGGCATGGGGACGTACTCCATCACAGGGCAGTCAGGTGGAGGGAGGACGGCAGGCTGGCACGGTGCAGGAGGCAGCTCTTCAGACGACACCGATGTGATTTTGGAGATGACGGCTGGCTGGCTGGTGGCGTGAAGGTTCACCAGCCTCTCCTGCTGCCGGATAAAGTCCCTCACTGTTTTAGAGTTTATTTTGGGAAGGGGGATGCCTGCCTTACAGAGGATTGGGTCATCCAACAAAACCCGGTGCTGGATCCTCTCATAGGCCTTGAGGATGCTGGTCTTCTCTGGGCTGGGGCGAGAGGCCTGAGGGGAGCGCAGCCACAGAAGCTTGACAAAGCACGTACATGAGGCGGTTGTGCTGCGGGCTGATGTCCTGCTGTGCTGGCGCGTACCTTTTTGCCATCTTCACCTTCTGGACCAAGGCGGCGTCAGCAAGGTCATCCCTCTTAGTGCGGCAGTACAGCGTGTTACCCCAGTGTGTGCGGTATAGCTGGTGGTACTTCTGTGGCTGCTTGTCGTGCTCCTCCACCACATTCCAGGCCTCGAGGACCCGGTTCCTTTGCGCGGTGTTGAGGAGCAACGTCTGGTCTGTCAAGCCGACCTCCACCAGTGCAGCACAGAATGCCTCCAGCTTTTGAAACCCCGGCAGAGGATTTTCACTGCAGACATCCTCCTGTAAAACATACACAGACACACACACACACACACACACACACACAAAGAAAGAAAATTAGGTAAGTTCCAATGCATACAATGTATTGTTTTTCAACATTGATTACTGTATTCTTTTCTATCAGACAAGTAGGTACTCTACTCACAAAGGCAGGGGGTTGACTGTAGCAGTCTCACTGCTGGTAAGAGTCATGTGGGCTGGACAGTAGGATGGTCCTCGTCGCTTTGGTACGCCTCGTCTGCTTCGTCTGCTTCGTCGTCTGAGTCAGCCTGCCCAGGCTGAATGACCTCCTCCTCCGGCCAGGACCGTCATTGACAATGCCCTCAAGAGAGAAGGCCTCCCCTGTGCTTTGGCTGAAAAGATATTCAAGACCAAGCAGCTCATTTGACTGGACGGCGGCCGGGGCCCTGAAGTTCTCTTCCACCGTCTCGCCAAACAGCTGCTTGCAGCGGGAGTTGAGGCGGTCAATGAGCGGCGCCGAGTAGACTCGCCTGTGCCGGCCTCTGCCCCCAAACACTGCATCCGAGCTCCGGTCAGAGTTCCACCTGGCGATCCCACTGATGAGGTAGACCTGGTAAGGCCGTGCCGCACAGTGGGGACCTGAACATCACAACAACAGGTATTATCAGAATGATAGAAAAGAGACATGTGTTGTTTGCTGTTAAACAAGTATTTTTCCCCCTTAGATTACCTGGAATCATATGGGGCAGCGCCTTATGGAACCCCTCCAGGCTGTTGCTCCCACGCACGCATTTATAATACGGGAGGTCCACACCGTTGATGGTCGTGGTACGGGCAACCCTGTACATGGCCATGCCTGGTGGGTCTTGGATGCATTCCAGGTGTCGCTGCTGGCTGGCCCACATCTCATCAATGGCTGCTGTAAACACAAAAATCCACAGACATGCATGATGAGCTCTTGTCATTTTGCACATATTGTGTGTGTGTGTGTGTTTGAGAGGTGTTTTTCCTTACCAGGGGACTTGAAGAGGCTGACCCCGCTCTCGTCGAACCCTGCTAGACCCTTGAGCTCTTGAATTACTAGGTGGACAAGACGAAATGTCTCCTGGGCTCCGAGGGTGACACGCCGGACATGATGCTTGAGGTGGTCCCGGGAGATGTAACGACGGACAACATTCTCGTCTGTCACAACCTCCATTGTGACCGGGTCTCTGGCCCTGACAGCCCTGATGAGGAGCTGGAGGTCCTCACGGTTATAGGCCAGCACTGCCCGGCCAGCGCAGACTTGAAGGCGGCGTACTTTGCGTGGGCCTCGGTACGCAGAGCAGCATCAAAGCGGTGAAACCAATGGAAAATGTCCAGCCTCACCACCATCCCATCATCCACCCAAGGCTGGAAAAGCGTCTCCACGGCTGTCGGACCCTGTGCCTTGCAGCATCCCCGGTCGATATACAGGATCTTGGGTGTCGGTTGATTGGCAAGCCGGAACCGCTCCACCACGCCACGGCACATGGGCCCCAGCTTTTCTGAGGACTCCTCGCAGGTGAGAACAAAAGACACGATCTGCGAGTACTCGTTGCTGATGCTGGTGAACCACTCGGCCGAGCCCTTGCCCTCCCCAGACAATTTCTTTACCACCTACAACAAAATAAACACAAAACAGTTTAGTTTAGTTTTGGATAATGTTGCGTTTCTCCGTGAGTACTCGTATGTCGACACACTTGCCTTCTTTGTGGAATCCATTTTCAGGACTGTGCCGAACGTGGAGAGGATCTGGCTTCGGTAGTCCTGCACGTTGTCCGCCTCGGCCAGGAGGAAGGCGTGCCGCAGGAGCCGCGTGCAGGGTAGCTCTCTGGGAGGAGGTGGCGCCTGGAACTCCCCGTGACCCAACGCAGACACGATTCCGCCGGGTTCCACCAAGGCCATGAGGAGCGTGGTGTACAGGTCCTTCCTTTGATGGTAGTTCTCCATGTGGTTCTCCTGCACCTGCCGCCACACTTTGATCATGGTGTTTCCCTCTGTGCGGTCACGCAGGAGGCGAAGTACTGTTTTGTCCACCCCACGCTTTGCAGTCAACACGGCCGGAAACATGGCCCGATGAGCCTCGCTCAGCTGCTGCAATATTACATCGTCCCAGGCCAGCCACCGACCCATGGGACCACTCGCTCCACCCCTGGCAGCCTTGAGGCACGGTCCACAGACAACCACCTCTGTTGCCATGGTGTACCAACCGGACACATCACAGATGTGACGTACCTAAAACAATAAGTAAAACATTATTAGTTACATTATTAGTATTAATAAAACATTAATACATTGAGATTAACAATTTTTAATAGATTAAAAATGTGAAAATTGTAAATAACATTAAGAAAGTTAGTAGATGCTGTAACAAAACTATTTAATTGTTTAAAATTCCCAAAGCATTTACTCATGTAAACAAAGGGGACTTTTTTCAATGCATGGATGACAATTTTCTAATAATTGATCTACTTATGTCACTTTGGATGGCAGGCCGATGGTGTAAGTGTGAGCACACGTTTATGTGTGTTGTGGACACTGTGCCCCCTTAAAAACACAAAAATAAATAGGTACATAATGCCTCTGTCAGCATTCATGTTTGTTAAGCAGTCACTAATTATGTATGTATTACTGAAAACACAGGTGTGAAGAGCCTTACCCGGGTATGGTAACCAGACTTGGAGAGGTGTGTGTTGCCTCCGGCCCCAGCGCACTTATCTCCACGGGGACATTTCAGGGAGCACCGCCACACTCCGATGGGGCGCCAGAAGAAAAACCGGCTGCGGTAAAAGGCCTGTGGAGTGGGGATGGCGCCGCTAACGAAGCCGGGTGACTCAGGGGGGTAAAACCACATCCGGTCTGACTTCAGGATCCGCCGCCTTCTAATGACGCCCTTGATGTCCTTGTAGGTTTGGACGGACGTAAAGAGGCCTCTCTCGCTGTCCTCCTTCAGCCAGGGGATGTCAGGTGATGGGATGCCATTGGGGTCTTCCCACAGCCGCACCCAGCCTTCCAGCTCCACCTGAAAGACACAAGACATACAGCACACAACATTTAGTAATTTGTTTCACATAATGTGGTGGGGGTTACCAACCAAGGGATTTTCTGAAATGCATTAACATTGCTTGTGTGTGTTATGATTTTACACTTACAGGAGAGTCACTTTGTGACAAAGGGGTGGCAGACACAGGCTGGCTGGTGGAGGTCGATGGTGGTTCTTTGGGGCGAGCATCAGAGGGTGACTGACCAGGCACTATGAACGGGAGGAGCGTCTGCTGCTCGGGACTCTCACAAGAGGCAGCCTTACTGGTGGAGTGAAGCGAGGACAGCGTAGGCTTCAGCTGCTTCCTGTGCTTTTCTTTCTTGCTGGAAGACCGAGGAGACTGCTCGGGACGCTCTCCAGTTGCTGGCACACTGGTGGAGGTCGACGGCAGTTCCTTGGGACGAGCACCAGAGGGTGACTGACCGGGCGCTAAGAATGGGAGCAGCGTCTGCTGCTTGGGACTCTCACAGGAGGCCTGAAGCGAGGACAGCGTGGGTTTCTTCGGCTTTCTGTGCTTTTCCTTCTTGCTGGTAGACCGAGGAGACTGCTCGAGATGCTCTAGGGTTGCTGGCACGCTGATGGATGATGGCGGCTGTTCGGGAACCCCTACCGACACAGGCTGGCTTGTGGAGATGGGAAAGAGCTCCTCTTGGCTCTCAAAGGTGACGAGAGCATCCAAAAAGACGGAGTCGTCCAGAGCGTCATCGGACCACGACGAGTGGGAGGTGTCAGCTGCTGCTGGGGAAACTTGAAGTGAAGACCAAAAATGTATAATTTAGGTTCTAATACAATAGTATAAACTATGAATTGGCCTGTACATTAAATTTAGCATTTAAGATTACACTCTTAAAATGGATGTGTTAAAAACAACACAACCTGTGTTATATCTTAACACACCTGTGTGTCTAGTTAAGGACAACACATTTTGTGTTACTTTTAACTCAACCAGTGTGTTATTGTTCTTATCACAGGGAGTGTGATTTCACTAAGTTTGCACTTTGAATTAGATTAAAATGTAGCAACTGACAAAATATTGTGTGTAAGTAAGTTTTATTTACACTGGTGCACTCTTATAAAATGATTTTGTAAATAACACAACCTGTAAAAAGAGATGTCAAAAATGACACATGCTGTGTAGATTTTAACACATGTAGTGTGTGTGCTCAGGGACAACACATTTTGTGTAGATTTTAACACATGCTGTGTAGATTTTAACACATGTAGTGTGTGTGCTCAGGGACAACACATTTTGTGTAGATTTTAACACATGTTGTGTAGATTTTAACCCGTTTTGTAGATTTTAACACATTTAGTGTGTTTGCTCAAGGACAACACACGTTGTGTCTAATTTAACACACAACCTGTGTCGTTTCTTTACACATCTCTGTGTTTATAAGGATTACACATTTTGTGTTACGTTTAACACAACTAATGTGTTAGACAGCAGTGTGTTGTTAAAACCTTTTACACACTAATGTGTTATAGTAACACAACTTGTGTCAGATACGCGTCACATGTGACTGTAGTCGGAGAGTATTTGCCAGAGTTACTTCCCGTGTGCTTACAGAAGTGTTTGGATGAACACTGACACGTATTGGTAACTTGTGTTTATGTAGTCCAGTGATGTTTAATAGAGTTTGTTTGAACATTTGGATGTTTTAAACATCATTAATCTACATAGACAAGCTCTTATTGAGAATTAACAGAGGTTTGATGTTTCATTTCAGTTTTATTTCAAGTCACCAGAATCGTGATTAATAGCCGCGTTTCCACTGCCGGGCTAGGGCTGGGCCAGAGCTAACAGCGAGCCGGGCCGAGCTAGTGGCCTCGGGCCTCAAGCACCGGGCTTGCGTTTCCACTGCCGGGCCAGTAGCCCCACAGCGCTGCCCCAGACCCCACCCCTAACACGCCTTTCAGGATCAAACGTCATAAAACCCAACCCATTTCAGCGGGTATTATGAATTGATTAATTTTTTTAAATTAGGAAGATAGCATGTATATTAACTCAACTGCCGTAGTGGCTGCAATAGTGTCCCGAGACCAGTACAGGCGATTCTCCATTTCAAGCAGCGATTTTTTGCGCGATATAACAAGTAGGGCTGCGGGCACGTTTTCAAGTTATTCATTAATCGTTAACCGAGGCCCATCGGTTAATACTCGGTGCATAGTGTGCGCGCCGCAACCTCGAGATACAGAGTAAATTTTTAACAACTTTAATAACTGATTGGACCCCATTTGAAACGAAATTAATTTATAGAAATAAAATGCAGCAAGTACGGAGCAGTTAAAGCCGCATTTCCATCACCCTTCAAACTGAAATTGCCAATTGAAAATAAGCAAAACGTCCATTTCACAAAAACTCCGTGTCTGCAAATAATAATAATAATAATAACCATCATCATCATTATTGTAACATTTTATTAGGCTGCATATGTAGAAGACGCCTTTATCCAAAAAAGGAACAGAGCACAAATAAACACAATATTTTTGACAAATATCAGCGCATATCCAGTGTGTGTGGAGCACGCACTGATGGCTGCGAGACGCCCATGTGAACAGTTTCATTGCATTTCTTTCAGTGGAAACAACTTAAAATACTCTTTAATTTCTGGTCATACAGAAAATAATAATACATTATTCGCAAATAAATTTATTTATAACAAGAAAACGTTGTGCTTTAACAATTAATCAAGGCGCGCTTCATGATCTCTGTGAACTGAAGCGTGAGACCTGAAACAGCCACCGCATTCGAATTTGTTCGTTTTAAATTGGACATTTAAAGCTTTAGTCTACAGGGGTTATATCCTTTGTAGATTAAAGCTTTAAATGTCCAATTTAAAACAAACAAATTCGAATCGAAAGCCAATATCTTCTATGTTTATGTAGCTTCATTTCTCTCTAAATGTGCATCCGGAGATGGAGATATGTTTTTAGCCGAAAATCATTTAGAAAACAATAGTTTATTAATAAACAATTAATGCCTCGTTATTTTATATTATTTTATTATCAGACACATAACACATTATTATAGCCTATAAATCACCCATAAATCCCCTTTCTGTAGGCTGTGGTTACGGCTCTTCTCATTCAGCACTGCGGGGAAAATATCATTTCCAGGTTCTAATTTGGCCTCAGAAAACCAGTAAAATATATATTTTTTTCATATTAATTTGTCAAATATTTTAAATGTTTAAGGGGCAAAAAAATCAAACAAATATCTGAAAATTCGTCGATATGTAGCTATATATAGCCTATATATTGTTGCGCAGCATTTGGCATAGGCCTACAGTTCAAATTAAAATGTTATGCAATTTTAAACGGTTAATCGGTTAAACATGGACACCCCTATGTGCATCTTGCTTCAGATCATAACGTTCCATAACACCGATAAACTCCGCCTTTTACCTTGAGCACGCCTCTAGCCCGAGCTGGCCCCCTCTGGCCCAAGGTATTCGACGGGCCAGAAATCCTGGCCGTTGGCCCTGAGGAAGCCCCGATCAAGCCCCGGAAGTGACAGTGGAAACGCGACTGGCCCTGGCACGCACTAGCACGGCCCGGCCCTGGCCCGGCAGTGGAAACGCGGCTAATGGCTCCTTTATTTGGGCTCTTGACCCTTTACTCTTGTTTTAGTGTTTCTCTGCCTGCTGTAACTGTATTTTAATCAAATATATCTGTTATGGTGAGAAAAAATATGATCAGAAGGTTCTTGATGATGTCATAATCAGCAAGTTATGATCAGGTTTTTGAGTATATGGATGGTGTGCTTTATTTTAATGATTTATTGTTAGTTCTGAAAGTTTTGTGAAACTACATCCAGCTATCCAAAAGTGCAGAATGACAAAGAAAGTTTAAAGCTACAGCAGAAACCAGTCAAACACAGATATCAAGAATCAGCGTATGGATCTCAATAATGGTGACAAACGAAAAGTTTCATGCCGCAATGCATGCTGGGACTTATGGATGAGCTTTATACTAGAGACATGAAGCTTTGCCACCATTGTTGAGAGTCATATGCTGATTCTTGATGTCTGTATTTGACTAGTTTCTGCTGCAGCTTTAAACTTTCTCTAAACATATTTTTTTAAAGAATTATAGCATCAGGTAGCGTACACCATAATATCATGTAAACACTGAGTATCTGTAATCAAATATAAGTTATCTCTTAAACATTAAACTTCTCTTGCTATGTTAAAAAACATCATGTTGAAAAATGATCATTTAATGATCTTTTTCCTCAAGATAATTTCAACTGTTTCAGATGTGCAATATAAATACACAGAAACAGCAAACAGAGAAACGAATGGTAAAGAGTGAAGGGTCAAGAGCCCAAATAAAGCTGCCACTAATCACGATTCTGGTGACATCAAAACAAACATTCAATGAATCGTCAACACAAAACCTGGTAATTCTCAATAAGTGTTTCTGTAGACGTCTGACAGAAATAAATTGTTTGTTATAATAAATTAGTTATTAATAACAAGTGAAATCAGCATTTGAAAAAAACATTGAAACCGAGGCATGATGTGATTGGCTGCCAAAAACACTCATTGATCTGAAGGTTTTTTTATGAATTAAGATTTTATTTATTTATTGTAATGTATTGTTTCATTTATTTTAGAGCTTGTTATGGGATACCATATAAAATATACTACCTCTAATTAGGTTCTTAAACACAAACTTCCCTCCACCCATTAAAATTCTATCCAGTTACATTTTAACACACATTGTGTTAAAAACTACACAACTTGTGTCAAAATACCATCAACACATGATGTGTGTTGTTTTTTAACACATCTCTTTTTAGAGTGTATGGATGTTGATTATATCCGGCCCATCCTGTTTTTCTCTATTGGTCAGATAACTGAAACGCTTAATGTTTTTTTTTTCCTGCCCAAACTGTTATCTCTATTATGATTTAAATGAATCAGATCACAGAGACTCTCACAAAAACAGCTAATCCAATCAACCTTACGAATCAACGTCTATGCTACTGATCTGATTAACACAGGATGGGCCGGACACAATCAACATCCTAATCTTAAATGCTAATTTCAACATTGACTTTTACCTTTTGTCTTTAATGGCTCTGGGATGGCTCTTGGAACTAGTTCCTGGCCAGAATCAACAGTTTTCAATAGTTACTGAAGCCCAGTTACTTGCCCTCAGAGTAGGGGTAAAATACAGTTTTGGTATTTTGTGTATTTCTTTTTTGTAATAAATGTGTTTCATTGTTGCATCATTCTAGTTGTATTATTTGTATTATCTGTGTCCTGTCATTGTTATTCTGCTTGTGCTGTAGAAGCTTCTGTCACCAAAACAAATTCCTCGTATGTGCACAACATACCTGGCAATGAAGCTCTTTCTGATTCCGGTTCTCTTCTTGAAGAGCTGGAAGTGGCAGCAGCAGGAGTGGCATCAGATGAAGGCTTCTGTGAATGAATGAAAGCTTTGTGCTCTTGAAGTTTGTCAACATAGCATGTGTAGTAACAATCACGGCAGTTTAAAATCACCTTAACCAACCTCTCTATCGAGAATATATTTTCTGAAGCGCTTCAGGGATTTGGTGGTGATGTCCTCCTCCTTCATCACCAGCCACTGCCGCACAGAGCAGTACGCCTCCTGAGCCATCTTTCGCTCTTGATCTGTCCCACTGTGCGGGACAGTCTGAAACACCTTGTGCAGACTGTACCACTGCCACATCTCCATGAACGTGAACGACCTGAACCGTCCCTGCCCATAAATGGCCTTGTCCACGTTCATCTCGAGGTGGCAGGATACCGGTGGAAGCAGCTGCACATACCTCAGGAGGTAGTCCTTTATCCACCGGTCATTGATGGCTATATTATCAGGATGCCGGCATTCTTTGACGTGGCGATCAAGGACACTAAAATGTGATAATTAAGCATAATTAATGTATGAAGAACATACTGGACATTGTTGGATTCTGTTTAGTGCAACATGCTTACTATTTAATGTATCCATCGTCATTTTCCACCAGCCATTTGAAAGATTTCCCGTTGTATTTCCCAAACGTGATTATTAGCTGACCCAAACACTGCACCTCCGTTGGAGTGGATGTGACCAGCCGGCATCTCTCTTTAGCTGAAAACAGAAATTGTGCAGCCTCATATGCTATAGTGCACAACAGTAGGTCAACATGACTGTGTTAGAAATATAAGGTGGAAAAAACATCCATTACCTTTGTTATAAGCCTTCTTTTCATCCCTCAGGTCACGGTCGTCCGTGGTTTGGCACGGTTTATACGCCTTGGCCTCCTTTGTTGCCTTAAGAAGGCATTGTTGCCTTTCCCTTGGCACACTTGTGTCGAGGATACACACAGTCTGGTTAACTGGTTAAAAATAAAAAACAGTATACTCAAAGTGTTATAAAAATAAAAATAAAACAGAAGGGTAATGTTTGCAACATCTCATGTTTTTCTGATGCTGCAAGTCTTCCAAATTTAGTCTGATGATTGAATTTTACAGGGTTTTTATACATTCAGTGGACAGTCCTTAAAAGTGTTGACCTTAACACAGCCTTAGAGATGACAACTAAATCGAAACCCACTTTGATCATTTGATTATTGGTCCTCCACAATTGTATACACATCACCTGGTCACAATAACTAAGGTTATGTAAGCATACACACATATAAAACCCCAAAAATGTATGACATCATCATAATCAATGCCCAATATAGTGCAGTTGACCTTAATTTTTCATGTGATATATTATATAAGTATGTAGGATCAGCAGATCTTAAACATATTCTTAGATTAGTAATACTACACACCCTCAAAGGGGTTTATTATTGTTTACATTGTGTGAGCTAATCGGTTTTTTTTTTTTTACAAGGTGTTCATTTATGAAAATTCAGCAAAAGGTTATACAATTGAAGACTGCAATCTAACATATATAATGAATAACACAATAAAACAATCAAAGACTGCAATCTGACTTAATTATAGAATGAATGAGACGATCACAATGCTAGCAGACGCTTGGTTCTCACACATCACGTAATAAACAGTTAAGAATAGACATGCATCACGTTTAGCTTGTACTTTGACAAATAATACAATCACATTTATCATTTTTACGCGACGATAAATCATTGTCACTTACCTCCAAGTTCGGAAAAGTCTTATTATGATCTCCATCACCTGTAGCGCTCTGATTGGAAGTCTACGTTCGCCCGCTGAACGTAGACGGTTCGGCTCTCTGATTTGCCAGCGAACGTAGACTCTGGGCCAATGACGTTTCTCCCGGCTGAACGTAGACTGTTCGGCCCTCTGATTGGCTTAGAGTCTACAGTGAACGTAGACTCTAGGCCAATGACGAGCCGTATCAGTCTACGTTGAACGTAGACTTTGCACTTCCCTAGGGAGATCGTCTGCGAATTCCCCAAATGTGGGAATCTCGACTGCATAATTTATGGTAGTGGGGGACTGCGTTCGCGCTCTCCCCTGGACAACACTGGTTAAAAGGGCAGATTGTTAAAGCTCCACTTGAGGTTCTTTTGTTTTGTTTTTTTTCTCCACTTCTTCAATATCCAGAGGCAGTCCAGAGAGTTGAACTGCGGCGGTTGCTCGAGAGATACGAAACAGTCTAGGACCGGTCTGTGTGAGGAGGGTTTTCTTTTTTCTCCTCAATTCTTCAAATAGTCTCCAATATTTGACGGACGACTTAGTTCACAGCAGTTGTCCTGGAGGCAAAGTTGTTCGGAATGAGGAGTTCTATCATGTGGTATGAAAACATTGTGCACGTGTGAAACGTCACGTGATATACAGCCACCCATGTTGTGTTTTTTTCTGTTTACAGCGCCACCAAGTGGCCAGTCGCCGCATTCCTCTTCACGTGACCACGGGCTGAGCCCGTACACAGGTGTACCGAGTTGGGTGCAATTGTCTCATTCCGTTGGAGAGTTATAGCCGTTTAAGTAAAGCCCGCCTCGCCCACCCCCAACGTTTTGGCGTACCGTCGCCAACGTGGATGGAAATTCCAACTGTTTCCCGATCCCTGTTGGCAGTCAGACTCCAGAGAATCTTTCTGCACCGGTTTGGGTCAGATCGGGCAAAAAACCTAGGACTAGTGTGCAAAAGTAGGTTTTTCAGAAAATCCAAAATACCCGAAAATCTCGCCAGCGCGACCACCCAATCCGAGGCATGCATCTTGTTCGGCTCGAGCCAAGGATTCCGGTGATGTAAGACACTTGGGTCTGCGACCGACGGTCGAGGAGTTACGAGCCATTTCGTACTTTTGATCGCTGCAGCGCCACCTTGGGGCCGATCGGGGCGAGCCTTGGTGAGGTTGTAGTACCGGGCCGGTCCTACCATCCCTCAGAGTTTCAAGTCTCTACCACGGACGCTTTGGTCTGCCCGCTCACTTTTAAGGCGGAATGTTGATGATCCAAAATCCCAGGTTGCACTCCAGAGTGTCGTGCTGTGCACTCTGTTGTGATCCATTTTCGGTGTCAACCAATCTGAGCTGAGCTTGTTTGCCGGCGACCTTAGACCCTCTCGCCGCGGCCCAGGTGGGCGTGGCCTTTGCCGGCTCCCCCGCCTCGGCGTCGCTGCGTCATCGCTTCTCGGCCTTTTGGCTAAGATCTAGTGGTCTGGTCGGACGTCTGAGACAGCGATCGCCTCTTGTTGGACTTGGTCTCGTGTGTTGCTTGTCACACGGGACATACACCCTTCAGGAGGTACATTGACAAGCGGCTTTTAATTGACGACTCGTTCTACGAGGAATCTTCTGGTTTTAAGGTAAGCAGGTTTTAATTTATTTATTGTATATTTATTGTTGGATTTTAGCCGCAGCAGGCTAGTGGTGCCTCCAACATGTCGGCTGCTCGTGCCGGCATGAGGAGGCACCACAGCGTGCGTTTTAAATTTAAGACAAAGGAGGATGGCACTCTCCAGGCGATGTCCAGGCTGGACTTTTCCAGGAAGTGCATCCAACAGACTCTCGGTTTTAAGGCTACGGATATAAACTGCTTGTTGACTCTGCCCCTGAATCATGGCTTTGATGTTAGTTTTGCCTCTGCTTCCTTGCTGAGTACTTTTTGGGCTCGGTATGAATTGTGTAAAGCCAATTTCTCCATGTTCACTGTGGAAAAACTGACTGATAATTCACTGAAAGTGGTGATTGTCAGGATGTTTAATGAAACAGTCAGTGGAGAGGACATTGCTGTATGGTTGGCAAGATATTGCTCTATTCGTGGTCAACCAGTCAAGGTTTTAGATGAAGACGGTATCTGGAGCTGTGCGTGGAGAGTGCCCATTAAACAATGGGCAGATCCCAACAGCTACCATGGCCTGAGTCAAATTCCTTCTATGATTGTGTTGGGAGAGAATAGAGGTTACATCCATTATCAAGGGATGCCCAAGCTATGCCGCAAGTGTGGCCAACTTGGGCATCTCGCCGAGGCGTGCCAAGAAGTAGTGTGTAGGAAGTGCAGAGAAATTGGACACACTTTTGAAGAGTGCAAAAATGGCAGAAAGTGCAACCTCTGTGGAGAATCATCCCATCTCTACAGAGACTGCCCCCAAAGTTTTGCCAACAAGCTAAAAAACAACAAAATGGCCGCCCCACCCAAAGACCAAACAATAAAGGAGGCGGGCCCTGAGGTTTTGGCGGGAAATTCAAATCCTCAGCCAGCCTCAGGGATTGGACCGGAAGAAGGAAGTGGGGTGGCCACAGGGGCGGAGTCAACTCGAACAGCTGGTCAGGGGGAGGAAGCCAATCCTCAAAATGACAACGGTAAAGAAGAGGTGGACGACAAAGAGGAGGAAACGGCTTCCTCCCTCGTCACCGTGTCTGAGGCTAGTGGGTCAACTAGTGGGAGTGAGACAGATTCTTCTCTTCCCAATGCTCAAGTGCAGAAAAGAACTGCGAGATCTCCTCTGGTCCAAACAGAGGAGAAAAAGCTGCGGGTAGCGCACCGGCTAGATAGTTCCCCCATGGAAGATCTAGACCGTGTGTGGCCCACAGACTCTCCTAATGAAGTATCTTTTCTGCATTTTAAGCTAAGAACATCGACGCCAAAGGCTTCGCAAGAGGTTCTCTCTGTGAGCCCTGAGACGTCAAGCACTTTCCTTCCTGATCCCAGGGTTTCTGGGCAAAAGGAAAGGCAAGTGCAACAAGAAATAACATGATTTTAACAATAGCTCTGTAGTCCCCTCTTGATGCTTTTAAATGTCTCATATTATTTTTACCATACTGCTCATGGCTCTCACTATCTCCACCATCAATGTGAGAAGTGTGAGGAGCAATATTCGAGCACAGAGCGTTTTATCCTTTTTAAAATCTTTTAAGTCAGATGTGTTTTTATTACAAGAATGTGGCTTGCCTTTTTTAACTAATTACAGGATGTGGGAGGAGATTTGGACCCCAGGAGTTTCCATCTGGAGCGGGTCCAATTTTAACAAAAATGACGGTGTCGCTATTTTAATCAAAAATCCCAATATTTTGGTGAAGGGCAGCACTGTGGTGAGGGATGGGCGGGCCATTTTAGCTAATCTGACTTTTTTAGGTAAGGATTTTAACGTTCTTAATGTTTATGGTTTTACGGAAAAACAAGAACGATATGAGCTTTTAGAAGAATTGCAACCCCACATGCTGGGTAGGGCTCCCCTAGTGGTAGCAGGGGATTTTAACTGTGTTTTAACTCAGAGAGATAGGAAGAGGGTAGAAGATTTTAAAATGGACAAAACATCGGTTTTATTGCAAAATTTAGTAAGGGATTTTAACTTAGTCGACTGTTTTAAAACATTGCATCACAGAGAGGAGGGCTTCACCTGGTTCAGTGGTGACGGCACCAGGGCCTCTCGAATCGACTACATTTTTACAAGGGACTGCCCGCCAACCGATGCTACATTATCCCCCCTCTTTTTTTCTGACCACATAATGCTATCCTGCACCCTTTCACTGCCCTCGGGTGTGACAGTAGGGGGAGGGCTGTGGAAGTTGAACTGCTCTCTGTTGGAGGATGAGGAAGTCGTTAGAGAATACAGAGAGCAGTTCAACCGATGGCAGACCCTCCAAGACTTTTTTGACTCACGAGCACAG